TATTTGCAGTGCTACTGCCCATGGATATCTGACTGTTTTTTTCTCCCCTTGATTTATATTTATATGTGTTCAATTTCAGCTTTCTGACTTAAATGGCTTCCGTCCCACAGCTGAACAATCTTTCTTCTTTCTCAACTGCTCCACACTTCCTCTAAGAGGCTCATCTGATTCATTTGTCAATCTCCAACCTGGCTTCAGTATATAAACTTTATATTCCCTCTTTTCGCCGCTGGATTCTTCTGTGAAATTCTTCTTTTTCCATTACCCTCTTTGTTGCCTTGTTACACTGCATGTTATTTTCATGTGCTCCATGACATGTTTCTGCTCCAACCTGCCCGTAATCTTTATTATTGAAAGACAGCTTTTACTACAGTTGAACTGAATAATTATAGGCCCTTCTTCTACCATAGCATGGAGCTTTCTTTACAAAATATATCAGAGCAGAAGCCTCTTCAAATCTTTATCCTCCTCTCCATTTTGGAAAAAAGTAGTTTCCTCTTAGCTTCCAGAAAAGATCCTAGACTAATTTTTTTTTATTGTGTGTGGGTGTGTGTGTGGGTGTCTAACATGTTCCACCTTGCTGTATGTTGTATACCATACAGGGATTTGTGTAAATCAAAGGCACATAGTAAACTAATCTACCTTAAGCAAAACTATCCTGCAAAAGCAGAAGCTTTGAAATGTGTTGCTTTGAAGGATACAAATGTGTGTTAAAACACTGCAAAGTTAAAAAGATAACAACAATGGGCTTGGAGAAGAACTGATGCCATTTACATGAGAAAAGGGTTAAAAAGTAAGATCCAAACATTTTGAAATGCATATTTTATGTACCGAAGTAAATTTTGTCATAAATAGAAAATATTTAAAGAGGTTTTGTTATGGTTCTCCCAGTTTGGACCTTGAGTTTTAAGTTTTCAGTTATCTATGTCATTCTGTTTTGTTGATCTTTGGTTTATTTTTCATTGTGTGCTTTAGATTTAAGCGGTGTTGCTTTTTTTGAGCTAATCTCTTTTTTTCCCTTTGTGCCTTTCTCCTTTTCCCTAGCACCCATGTCTCCTGGTTTTTGTTTTCCTGTGTTTTGTTTCTTTTGCTTTTTCGATTTCATTAATCCTGTAAGAAGTCATCTCTGCCTCCCTCATCCCTGCATTTGGGTCCTCAACCAACCTCTACCCCTCCTTAACAAGTTTGTTTCTCCAGGAGTCAAAGCACCACAAAGATTTACCCCAAGTTTGGCTCAAAACATGTTCAGTGATATAAAACAAGAGCTTTAATCACAGAACCAAATGGCCCTTAAAAAGCATGATAAAATGATAGGACAGGTTTGTTTGGATAGATGGAAGGTTAGGCCTCATATCTCTGAAAAAAAAAAAAAAATATGGTAACATGACGTAGCTTTTTCATTTTGGATATGAATGACCCACAAGGCTTCTGGAATAATGTCCTTTGAGAGAAATAAGATCAAAGTTCATATAAGTTTATATTTAATAGTTGAATGTATTACGACAAAAACATGTCAGCAAAAATCTATATATGACACATGGCACATGGTTTTATGGATTATAATTTAGTGTGCTTCAAAGCCACCTTGTAGTGAATGAGACAAGGCAAGTTTATTTTTATGGCACATTTCAGTAGCAATGCAACTCAGTTACTCTGCACCAGCATAACGGTATAATCATTATTAAATATTAATAATCAAAGAGAATAAAAATGAATAATCAGCATGATAAGGTGGTTATAAAATGAATAATAAAATGTTTGATAATGAAATAGAAATAAAGTTGGACTCCAGAAACAAACTAATTATGTTTATATAGAATAGTCAACGGTAACTCTCAATAAATCTCCATTTAAAAGCAATTTAATGTTTCAGCACATTGACAGTTTTCTGTGATTTTGCTCCAGATTATTGGAGCATTAGACACTAAAAACTGCTTTTCCATGTTTGTTTCTGGCTATGCAGAATAGACTTGAAATTATTTAACCATTAAATCTTAGGACAGCTAAATTAAGACTTTTTCCAAAAGCTGAAGCATAGTCAAAACTGGAAAAATGTTATATAAGCATTAGTGTTGGACAAAATAATTGCTCCACATATCTATTTATTGGATTAAAAAAAAAGGTAGGGAAGGGTTGGTGTAGTTACTTTTTAAAAAAACACCTTTTCTATTTCACCATAATTTTCTATTCGATTAAAACTTGATAATATTGTAAATGAACTTGTTTGTTATGTCCACAATACGTTCAATGTCAATCATTTTCAATGTGTGTTATATAAGAAAGCATTGTGATTTTAATTTAATTTACATAATAATGAGGTAAATATAGGGGATTATCTGATTAAATTATATTGATAAGCATTTTTTAAAGGCAAGGCAAGTTTATTTATATGGCACATATCAGTGGGAAGACAATTCAAAGTGCAGAATATGAAAAAAGAAAAATTAACTGTGATGTTGTAATGTAGACGCAGTCAAGTTTGTATTTGAGAACACATCGATAAACATGTTTAAACTTTTGCTCTATGCTTAAAAGCGAGCATTCATTCAGCCTTCAAGGGATCAATAATGACGCTTGGTGATATCCACACACACAATTTTTCCTGAGGTTGGTCCAGGTGTGGCTCCCAGTTAACTTCCTCTGTTCACAGCTCAACCCGGCGACAGAGACATCAGTGTCTGATAACATGGACCAGCTTAATGTTTAGCCTAGAATTTACACTCACACGCACGTGCACACACAGAGGGAAGCAGAGGGATTATAAAGGCGCAAAGATCTATGCACCAGCCAAGGATGAAGGACAGAAGAGTAGCTGTGGGAGGGAGAAGTGATCGAGGTGAGAATTATTGCTTTTAAAGGTATTTCAAATTTTGCTTTAAGGACTGGATTTTTCTGGATCAAATTGGATTTCTCAACTTTTTTTACTTGCATCGTACTCAATAATGACGTCAAGAGATGATTTCAATATTGAAGTTTTAATTTATCGATGTTTTAGGAAAGCTCATACAAAGTGGAAGTCATTGTGCTGGTAATTTAAACAGTTTGTTTGAACAAA